TTACAATTTTTTTTACAGTTCATGGAGGCTCCATGCTCCTACACTCTGTTTGGAATCAACATGATTTCTTCAAAAAACAAAAAAGCCTTTCTGCCATACGAAGTGGTAGCTTTCAGAAATCTTCATGTAACAAATTTTAAATATTTGTAATATTAGACTTCTCCAGCAATACATGGCATTAACAGAAGAAAATGAAGTTTTTGAATGTTCTTCCTTATGTATAAGAATTGAAATTGATAATAAAAATAAAGAAGGAAATAATAGTCAAGATCACTGTAATTAATATTTTTTATTTAATGCTATCTATTTATATCTATATACCTGGTTTAATATAAACTCACACTACAAGAAATGTGAAACAAAATTACAAAACATTTTATATTGTGTCAGCATAAGCTCTTACCACAATAGATATCTTAAAATGGACTTGTCCATTGCAATCCAAACTTAACTAATCATCAAATATCTATTAAATTTTGGAAATAATAATTGAGCCGTGTCACGACGAACAGCATGTATCCTGATCTGGATCCATGCTGGTCGCAAACCCATTATGTTGGTTTTGTCGTGACACGGCTCATATGTGCTGACGTAATCAAGCAAACAGTGACAACCATTTGTCACTGTTCTGACTGATCATGGTCTGCTCTGGTATTTTCACTTTCAGACATCAAGCTTAAAGGGTTAGATGGAACTTGGCTTATCTATTAAATATCCTACAGTTTATAACCGATGAGATATTTCCAGCTGCATTTTAGCTTATTTTAGCCCTTTAGTTCTTCATTTTAAGTGTTGTTAAATTGTTCTGGTCCTGGGTGTCTAATAAACTCCATTACTTTAAGTGTTCAGGATTATACAATTTAAGATATTGCCAGAATATGTGAGAGATGTTGCACTTTCCATTATTATTCATAAACAACTTGAATAAAACCAAGTATTTTCTTTTGTAAGTTCAACTATTTGAAGAAAAGGGAGAGCTTTTTAGCTCACCTGTCACAAAGTGACAGGGTGAGCTTTTGTGATCGCTTTTCGTCCGGCGTCCGTCCGTCGTCCGTCGTCCATCCGTCGTCCGTAAACTTTTACTTTAAATGACATCTCCTCATAAACCACTAAGCCAATTTCATCCAAACTTCACAGGAATGTTCCTTTGGTGGTCACCTTTAAAAATTGTTCAAAGAATTTAATTCCATGCAGAACTCTGGTTGCCATGGCAACCGAAAGAAAAAACTTTAAATATCTTCTTTTAAAAAACCCTAAGAGCTAGAGCTTAGATATTTGGCATGGAACATCTTCTAGTGAGTGTCTACCAAGTTTGTTCAAATAAAATCCCTGGGGTCAAAATTGGCCCCGCCCCAGGGGGTCATTGATTTTCCCTATATGCATATAGTAAAAACTTAAAAATTCTTTTTTTAAAGAACCCAAAGAGCTAGAGCTAAGATATTCAGCATGAAACATCTTCTAATGAGTGTGTACCAAGTTTGTTCAAATAAAAGCCCTGGGGTCAAAATTGGCCCCGCCCCAGGGGGTCATTGATTTTCCCTATATGCATATAGTAAAAACTTACAAAATCTTTTTTGAAAGAACTCAAAAAGCTAGAGCTAAGATATTCAGCATGAAACATGTTCTAATGGGTGTCTTCCAAGTTTGTTCAAATAAAAATCCTGGGGTCAAAATTGGCCCCGCCCCAGGGGGTCATTGATTTTCCCTATATGCATATAGTAAAAACTTAAAAAATCTTCTTTTAAAGAACTCAAAGAGCTAGAGCTAAGATATTTAGCATGAAACATGTTCTAATAGGTGTCTACCAAGTTTGTTCAAATAAAAGCCCTGGGGTCAAAATTGGCCCTGCCCCGGGGGTCATTGATTTTCCTTATATGTGTATAGCAAAAACTTAAAAAAATCTTCTTTGAAAAAACCCAAATAGCTAGAGTTTAGATATTAAGCATGAAACATCTTCTAGTGAGTGTCTACAAAGTTTGCTCAAATAAAAGCCCTGGGGTCAAAATTGACCCCGCCCCGGGGGTCATTGATTTTCCTTATATGTGTATAGCAAAAACTTAAACTCTTCTTTGAAAAAGCCCAAATAGCTAGAGTTTAGATTATTAAGCATGAAACATCTTCTAGTGAGTGTCTACAAAGTTTGTTGAAATAAAAGCCCTGGGGTCAAAACTGGCCCCGCCCCAGGGGTGTCATTGTTTTTAACTATATGTGTATAGCAAAAACTTAAAAAAATCTTCTTTTAAAAAGCCCAATGAGCTAGAGCTTAGATGTTTAGCATGGAACATCTTCTTATGGGTGTCTACCAAGTTTGTTCAAATAAAAGCCCTGGGGTCAAAATTGGCCCCGCCCCAGGGGGTCATTGATTTTCCCTATATGCATATAGTAAAAACTTAAAAAATCTTCTTTTAAAGAACTCAAAGAGCTAGAGCTAAGATATTTAGCATCAATCATGTTCTAATAGGTGTCTACCAAGTTTGTTCAAATAAAAGCCCTGGGGTCAAAATTGGCCCCGCCCCGGGGGTCATTGATTTTCCTTATATGTGTATAGCAAAAACTTAAAAGATCTTCTTTGAAAAAACCCAAATAGCTAGAGTTTAGATATTAAGCATGAAACATCTTCTAGTGAGTGTCTACAAAGTTTGTTCAAATAAAAGCCCTGGGGTCAAAATTGGCCCCGTCCCGGGGGTCATTGATTTTCCTTATATGTGTATAGCAAAAACTTAAAATCTTCTTTGAAAAAACCCAAATAGCTAGAGTTTAGATCTTAAGCATGGAACATCTTCTAGTAAGTGTCTACAAAGTTTGTTCAAATAAAAGCCCTTGGGTCAAAACTGGCCCCGCCCCAGGGGTGTCATTGTTTTTAACTTTATGTGTATAGTAAAAACTTAAAAAAAATTTCTTTTAAAAAGCCCAATGAGCTAGAGCTAAGATGTTTAGCATGAAACATCTTCTTATGGGTGGGGGGGGGGGGCTATATACCGGTGGGCGACCTCAGGGCCATCAGGGCCCTCTTGTTTAATCATGCCGGCTTTCGCACCATGCACTGTTACACTTTGGTAAAGTTTTCCTTGCAAGGTAGTTTCTCCACAACTGTTGAAGGGACTTTGTTGAAACTTCATGCTCTTGTTCTCAGTGTGATAATCTACTGTGATGGCTTGTGAGTTACCTTTTTACAGAGTTATGCCCATTTTTTACTGCCAAGCTCTGAGAATAGTCTTAGTTATGTTTTTCACTTCTCTCAGAATCTTTCACTTACATTTGTATGCAATAAGATTAAATAAATATTTTACTGTTAAAGTTTTTGAGTAAGGTAAACATAATAATTTTTTTTTTGTAATTTTAGAAGCATATGATCTCAGTTAGAATAAATTTCATTCAGTTTGATATTAGACATAGAGATATATGTATTACAATTATTCTTGCAGCGTTTGCAAATATTAACTTTTTACAAAAACAAATTTTGAAACAAATTTAATTGTAATTATGTTCACCTACATTTTGTATTAGCGTCTGGTGTTTACTTGGGAAGTCCTAGATTTTTTGCCATTATATACTTGATGCAAATAAAACTTTATTAATACTTGCTTTTATATTGTGAAAAAAATACAGTGATAATATTTGTATTAATTGTTAATAATTATAACAAAAAAGAATCTCAAGATATCCTGCGTTACAAATGCCATAAAATACAGCAGAAATATATAATGCCATGATACACAATAGAAAGTTAAAATGTAATAAATGAAAGATATAATGTACTAAATGAGAGTTATAATGTTATAAGTAGCTTATTACAATGAAGAGTCTTTTGGAAAATGTGTTGCAAAAGTGCGTTAGTGATATAAAAATCTGTCTGGAATGTACTTTCATTATTTCAGATGTAATGACAATATAATTTAATGCTTTGGAATACCTCTGTGACATTATCTTGTCTTGTAGTTAAACTAAATAATTTCTAAACCAAAGTTATTACTTAAAAAGCTTTCATTAAACTCACACGGTCATTGTTGATCAATTGCTGCAGCGAGCATTTATGATATTATGTTCAGTTTCAAACTACCAAAATGTTGATGTTGTTCTAAAGAAAAAGTACCTAAGAAGTAGAAATTGGCATGGTGACCACCGTATGAACACATCTGCGGATGTTAAAATCTAAATTCAAAATTTTACCTTTTCATGTTTAAATGTTGAATTCTGCTTAAGCCAGTGCTAGGGGGCATGGACGGTAGTTTGCACAGTGACAGTACCGTCCATGAACAGGCTCAATCAAACCGAGCCTGCAATATTTTCAATTTTGCTGTGTTGGGCTTTCTTTAGGGATTCTTATTTTCTCTATTCTAAATAGGCTGTAATTGAACACGATTTTACCAATAATTTTTTTTCTGAATTTTCTGGATCAGTACCAAAAAATGCATAAAGGTTTTTAAAAAGTCGGCAAATTTATCCCAAAATTAGTAAAATATTATGTCACATCCCTGCAACAATGCTACCAGTCTGGGATGTGGATACGCAGTGTTTGATTAATCATGAACCAGTCATCGTCACTTTGCAACATTGTGTTATAACGCACCATCACATTTATTGAGCATATGCATTGAATTTGTGTTTGTTGTGAAATTAAATAAATAAAGCATCATGTCATTCCTCTCAGCTGTATCTTTTCAAAATTTCAGCATGATCGGGCCAATATTGAGTCACAAATGACACCATTTATACTTGCGCATTTATAATATTTGTTAAGTGTATAATATTTAAGAAACAACAAACTTCATTCTTTCAATTGTTTTGGTAAAATATTTATATCGTACTTTCAATAATTTTGGTAAAATATATAAGAAACAACAAACATCATACTTTCAATTATTTTGGTAGTACTTTACATGCTTGTTGTGCATAGTTATCATCTGCCGAATATTTTAACCATCAGTAATAATAAATCATTATGTATACAAATAAAAAGAATTTAGTATCCGAACTATATAAATGTTTCAATATTTCAGATTATAGAATTCAGTCATCACCGTGTGTCTTTCGTTCAGGTACGAGGATCAATACCAGTATTCTGGAGTCAAACTGGAGTGAAATACAGGCCGCCACCAAAATTAGATAAAGGTAAGTCCTAATATTGTCCCTGTAGTTTCATTTATATAATATTAGATAAAAGTAAGTCCTAATGTTGTCCCAGTAGTTACATTTTTATCAAATTAGGTAAGAGTAAGCCCTGAAGTTACATTTATACAAAATTAGATAAAGTAAGTCCTAATATTGACCCCTTAGTTATATTTATATGATTTATATGAATTAGGTAAAAGTAAGCCCTAGTATTGTCACTGTAGTTACATTTATATGAAATTGGTTAAAAGTAAGTCTTAATTTTCATCTATATGAAATAAGGTTAAAGCAAGTCCTAATATTGTCACCATAGTTCCTTGTTTAGTATCAAAAAAAAGACAGTATCTGAAAATTCTGTTTGATGAGTGAAAAAAATGTGAAAAATACTATGATACTTTCTCAGGCATTCCAAATAGAATAATAGTTTAATAAATTGACTATAGTGTTAACTATATTTTGTAGAGTATATATCACACATAATCACATTCTTAACACAACATATGAGAACTCAAAAGAGTTCAACCTGCAAAAAAATTGCATTTTCCAAAAACTATACTTCAGTCAATATTGAAAATTTGCATTGTGTCAATCTGTCTTCGTCCTGAACAATCTTGATGCATAACCTTATGATTAAGTTTTTACTGTAAAAAGTGTTATATGTTGATTTTATTCTGACATATGTAATACCCTGTGGAGTACTTATAAGTTTTGTGAAGTGTACCAAATATATCAGTTAACCTTTAAATCAAATAAAATACATTACCAGGTTATTTTACGAAATACATTTGAGTCTGGATAAAAAGACTGGAAAATGGAGGAAAGAAGTCATATTTACACCTTTAGAGAATAGAGAAAGAGTGATTAAAATAGCTTTTCAGATTTTCTGGTATGTTTTGATAAATTCAATTGAGGAAATCAGAATATTTTACAACCATTTTTCACACAGGGATGGTATCATTATAAAATAATATGGCAAGCATTGTCATATTAATACCTTGCCACAATTTATTTTTGAAGCAATTTTGCACATTTTTGTAGATGATATTTGAGATTAGAGCCCTATAAATATCTCCTGAAATAATGCAATAATTGCATCTGTCTGGAGATGATGTATGATGGTTTTCCTATATTTCATTAAATTCTTCTGATAAAATATTTACACCTGTCTTCAATTTATTTTTCTCAATGGTAATGTGATTGGAAAAAAATACAATCACAACAAAGAAAAAAAACAACAAAAAACCCCCCAAAAAACCCCAACTAGTATGTGATATGACAATACAACAATACATACTCTATAATTATTGCAACTTGATCAGTGTTTATGATTGTATAAACTCTGATTTATGAACCCTTTAGTAGGGTTGGGTTGTCATAATACCACAGGCAGTATGACCAGGCTCTAAACTGTTGATTTTTTTGTATTTCAAAAATGCTGCAATGTTTCCATGGACTGTTCCAGATTTGTATTGGGACTTACAGTTCATTGGTCAAATTCAAGACAGTATTGTAAGTGCAGAGGGAGATAAACATTTTTATCTGATGTAGAAGTATTATGGAGAACATGGATTTGATAAAAAAACTAAAATTTTGTATTGGATTAATAATAACACATGGCCAGAAAATAAGTAAAAAGAAAAATAAAGTGAAAAGAAAATACAAATAAAAGGATGCCCTTTGTTTGAATAGAATAACAAATCTTTAATTGAGTGATACACTTGTCTCAAACAGAAGTAGATAAATTAAAAAGCAAAATTGACATTGAACTAAAATACTCTATCAATATGATAAACAAAAAGAAACACCAGGAAAATAAACGTTCCTGGAGGTATGGAGGTTATTAAAGTTTTCACTTAGTAAATGTGTCACTTAAAATACTATCATTTGAATGAATTGATTAAAAAGGAATAATATTTCAAAATATTGAAATTGAAAATATGATACAAAAATATAAAACAACAAACTCAAAAAGGCTCCTTTTTGAAAATCATTCTCATTTACAAAGCTATTGTTTTTGTGTTTCTTTGCAATGATATATTAGACATCTCGATTAAGTATATTAAATACTCTTTTTGATTTAAATGATACAAGAATTATTTAGCCATTTGGTTAAAAAACATACATGTAGTATTGTATAAATTATATGGTGGATTTCATGAGGATTAAATATAAAAAAAAGGATCAACCAGGAAGAGCAACATTCAGACTTTTTTGCCTTAAAAGGATATTAAAATTGCTATTGAAGTGTTGGGCTTTCATTAGGGATTCTGTATTTATCTATTCCATAGAAACTGTGTAGAAAAAGTGATTTTCTGGCATAAAATGATATCTCTAACACCTTAAAATGAGGCTGGAGATAATTACTTTAATTTTGTTGTGAGAATACATGTATACAAGTAATTCTGTGGTAAAAAACCCATCCAACAATACTGTTTTTTCCCTGCCTTTTGTTTTATGACAGAATTAGACACACACTCTTTTAATTGCCCAAGAAGAATGACATGATTTGTTGGAAATTTGCATGTAACAACCCTTCCACATGGGACATGTATTTATATCAATTTTCCAAGTTCAGCTAGCGGACATTTTAATTTTCTCTCCTCTCGCTAATACATCAATGTCCATATCATTTATTGTCATTAGTAACTGACTTGGGACATTTTACTAAAGTAAAAGGCAAACAGAGTGTATATCCCAGCAGTGTGCCAATTTAAAGAACTTAGGAAAGCTAGTGACAATATAGTTCTTATTACTAAACACTTGAAATATAGAATACAAAATCAAACTCGAGTTGTGAGCTTCAGAATGGTTTGACTGAAGATATGTTAACATTAACACATAATCGTTAGATAATTGTTTTGATATTTTTTAATAGCCAAAATATGTTATATACACTTAGTGAGGAAATAATAAAAAAAAACAAGCAATCTATGAACTATTTAAAAGTTTTTCCAACACAGTATTTGTAAAACATATAATAAAGAATAGAGTTTAATCTTTATTATATGTTTTATAAATACTGTTTCGGAAAAACGTTTAAATAGTCCATAGATTGCTTGAAAATAATAGTTAACAGATTATGTTTAATTGTTTATTGCAAACGCCTTTTAAGACCTTACTGATCATTGATGAATTCACACAATTTATTTTATTCTATTAAATTCAAGTTCAATGGGTAATGACAATCAGAAATGAGTAAATTGCCATAGAAAACAAGAAAACGGCATATCTTTTGAAAACTTGTTATTTTAAGCAAGCCCTATTCAGTTGCAAAAGTCTAAAAGATGAAGACTATGGACAAAATTGTTAGAAACTAGTTTTCATACAGAGTATTGTGAAAAAGTTATATTTGATTCAAAGATATATGAAATCAATGAAAGTGTGAAAGTGGTCTATGTATTTGCTTTTCTGTTGTTATAAAAATATAATGCAATCTGGATTTTCAATTTTGCATTTAGAAGATAATTTGTTTCTTGTTCGACTCATATGAAGTGGTCGTTTTTCACATAATTAATGGTCTGTTCCAGGAATCAAACTTGAGTGTGATTCCATTAATTAGAATATTTTTAGCCTAAAAACAAAAAATATTGGAAAAAATAATAACTTTTAGACAGTATTATACACAACCCATTGAGTACACATGAACCCATATATTGTTAGAGAAGCACGCAAAGATAATTATACATTATTTATATGATGCTAATTGATATTTCTTGATATTTAGAGCTTCAAAACCATGCCATGCTAGATATATTAGAACTTCTTCTAGATATTGGAACGGTTATTAAATGCCATGTTTGTTTTTCATTTAGTTAATGTTTCTGAAAATCAGTCTGTTAGTCTAAGAATCAATGAATTTAATAATGATTAGATATTTTGTTGATTTTACATCAAATATTTTATTTAAAAATTCAATTATTCTTGAGTTAAGAAAATCAAGAATGATTCTCGATTGTTTTGATTATAGAATTGAAAAACAAATTTAATATTATTCATATAAGAATTTTATTTTCATTTCTATTGTCTGTGTTAGTTTCAACACTTACTACCACTTTAATTATCTTAATTGCACAGAATCATTAAGCATGTTAAAGGAGAATTTCAAAAAAATTTACTGGCTGAGTAGCAAACAATTTGCGAGCGGATCTTAGTACAAGCTTGATACATGGGTACAGTGAGTTACCACCACCAGGCTAAGGGTATAAAAACAGTTTTCATTTAGAAATTTTCAAAAATAAACTTTATTAAGATTGTTATGTTGCAAGATTGCCAAAACACTAGAAATATATCTCATCAAAGTTTGGTGAAGAAGCTCTATTCTTTGCAACATACTTTGCCCAGAATTTGAACAAAAAATGTTTCAAATAAATGCAATTTGTCGCTATTTCCTGCATTATTGATAATTGTATTGTTGATGAATATAACCATATCTACTTACTATTTTTTCTCCAAGCCAAAATGTGATGCAAATACATTTGTCAAATATTCACTTAACAAACATTATGTCTTTATTTTGGCTCTTTATCTTATTTTTGGCTGTTTGAACAATAAAAATTTATGTATGAGTAACAACTTGTTTCCTTTACCAATTCTTGTTCATACTTCAGACAATTTTAATCTTTGCTAATCTACAAATATTAATGTGTGCTATTTAGCCTCTCTTAAATATATGAATAATCTCTTTTAAGGAAGTAAAATACATATGAAATGTAGTTATATTATGTTCAGCTGGGAGATCTCTTTTATTCACAGCTTTTACAGACAATATTATTTTGTTAACTTAAAGGTCCATTAATTATGCCTCAGAAATGCTTTATGCTGTTTTTGCTCAAAATGATTGGTATTGTATGTTTATATGACATTGGCGTGATGTTTATCATATTATTTACTGATATATCCATTGTAATATTTTCACAATACTCCAAATAAGTTAAAGTGACATAAGACTATTTTCACAATCCTTCAAATAATTTAAAGTGACATTTCATTATGAATTAGAT